AGCAGGGAGCCCGATGTGGGACTCGATCCCAGCGTCCTGGGATCAAGCCCTGAGTAGGGCTCCCTGCTCAGCAGGGAATTTGCTTCTCCCTCTCTCCCTGCTCGTGCTCTCTCTCTCTCTTGCTCCCTCTCGTTCTCTCTCAAATAAATAAATAAATAATCTTTAAAAAAAGACATATTATTGAGTGAAAAATGCTAGATTTAAGACATTGTGAATATTAGGCAACCCCCCCCCCCACCCCGCCGCACAACAATTATATTTGAATGGCACCTAGAGCGTCTTTGGAAGCATACCCAGGAAATGGACAACAGGGTTGTTTCCGGACAGGGTAGCCAGGGACTAAGGGCCAGAGATGAGAGGAAGACTTACTTCTTATACTATTACCATATTATATTATTTTTTTAAAAAAAATTATCATGTGCATGCATTATCTTTCAAAAAAGCCTGAGTTATGATTTGAAAATCTAGAATTTCACTTAAAAATCTGGACTCTTGGCTTCTTTTGAAAGAGGAGATGATCTGCAAGCATTCAGCCTATAAATCTGCATGGAAACAACTGCTGGAGCTGAGCCACGCCTGCCCCTTTAATTGGGCTGCTCAGCAGCAGGGGCATAGCTGGGGCGGGGGTGGGGTCGCTCAAGCTTCCACTTGTCCCTTCAGGAGATCAGGGGCCATGGCTCCGGGTAGAGGCTGCACCCCCAGGAGGGACACTCACCCACAGCTTGGTAGAGGGCCAGGAAGCCCTTGTGGAGGCCAGTGGTCCTGTCCTGAGAGGAGGCAGGGGCTCGGAAAGTCAGCCGCAGTCGGTTCCCCGGGGACACAAACTCCCTCTGATCAGGGGGGCTGCCCAGCGGGGAGCCCTGCTGCCCACAGAACCGACTTGGATCCATCCCACTGGCTGTGATCTGAAAGGGGAGGGTGGGCAGGCAGGTGTGGGGTGAATCTGCACCACAGGGTCACATCCTCTAGAAGGTCTGCACACCTCTGGGGCTCAGAAGCTGTTCCTCGGGGAGCTTTCCTCAAGTAGTGTCCTGTCCCATTACTGACCCCCAGGTTTCTTTTACCCATGACCAGATACCTAATGTATTTCTTTAGCCTACCGTGAGTATCTCATAAAGCCCACCATAGTTACCTACTTTCAAGAAGCTCCTTAGGAACCCCAGGGTTTCTCCAAATAGTCCGCTGGATCATAAATTCTAAGAAGGCAGGAACCACATCTGTTTTGCTCACCCTGACTCCCTGATGCTCCAAATGGTATCTATGGCACCACAGCCTTGAATTGACAAATAGGCAGACCTACATCCTTCCCGTCCCACCTCCTCCACCCCCACCACCTTCCACTTGTCCGAATAACTTCCAGTGGCCAACATCTGTGAAGCAGTAAGACTCTTTGCAAAGACTGAGCCCCTTGGGTTCCTAGCCTTTCCTGTTCTCCTTCCTTTGGAATGTTTCTCCTCTTACTCCAGAAACTGTAAGTGAAGCCCCCCACAAGGTGCAAAATCTACGGACACAAAATGTACACAGTGCGTGTACCCTGGGTATTGATGCTTTAGTATGTTCTTGAAGCAGGTTGTCTCTGCTTCTGTTCCTTCTGCCTGCCTCACCTCTGCTCAAATCCTTTAATGTGGGTTCCCCAACCCAAGGAAGGGCATCTTGGAAGGAGTTCCCCTGGCCCATGCTACATGCCTAATCTCTTCTCTGGGCACACAGCTCACTGGTCAGCTCATTTGATTTCTGACCTTCATATTGACCCACATACCCTGGGTTCTTGCTAGCTCTTTGTTCTCTCGTTCTCCCCAAATCGCAAATTTCTTTAAGCCTCCCTTCAGCCCATCTCTCCATGATCACAGTGACTGGGGGTAAGTTGGCATAAAGAAAAGTTTTCAGTCACCTGGAATGTCTTGCTCGGGCATGTCCCAATACTTTTCCTTCCTTAGGACATCAACACATTTAATGTCCCTATTTAAGAGACTTACCTCTTGGGGAAGAAGCATTTTACCCTAGGAAACTGTCCTTTACTGCTACACTTGGTTGTTAAGTGCTCCAGTTTTCTTCTTACCCTTCCTCATGAGTTGTTGGCTAAATAAAATAACTTAGGAGTCTAACTAGCAAAGTAGAATGAACACCCGACTGAGAGTCCTCAGACCTATGTTAAATTCCAGACTCTGCCCCACCTCCTTGTGTGACATGGGGGGTTTCTTAACCCCCGTTCTCGGTTTCTTCCTATAAAATGGTCCATGAGGCCTCTTCTAGCCAGGACAACATCACGCCCTATGGCAGTTCTCCAGAGTCTACACGTGGAACAGTGGTGAGGATGACACTAAACACCTGCTCATCCCAAATTCATTCTGTTGCGTGTTCTACAGAAGCTTGGATTTCATCCATCCATCCATCCATCCATCCATCCATCCATCCATTCCTTCAACAGGTACTGATTATGTTCTATGTGTGAGACACTGTGCTAGGTGCTGGGGGTACAGATATGAAGAACAGACAGTTCTGCTACCAAAGAGCTCACAGGCCAGCTGAGCATACTGACGAGTAAAAATGGAACTAGACTTCAGGGTCTTAAGTTCTGCATTTGCGGTGTCCGTGTGATTTGCTCTGGAAGCAGACAGGAGGGAAGGATCCTCTTCCTGAGCTTGAACTCCCTCCATGACAGGGAAGAGTCAGGCCAAGATGGAAACTGCCCGTGGCTGAGAAGAGCAGGGCTCAAGGTAGGTGCTCAACAGACATAGGCTGAATTAAATACAGTCCCGACTTCCAGTAAAATCTGAAGCAGTAAACACATGCACTTATCTCCTTTCCCACCTCAAATCCCACCAATGTCACAGCAAAGGGATAAAATGGTGTACGTGATCAAGGCAAAAAAGCGAGAGGACGTGACAGCAGAGGAGGGATGTCAACATTTTGGAAGATGGGTTGGAGATGGACAAATGTCAACGAGTCTTCAAAGGTGGAAGACAACATAAAGCAAGCAGGTTCTCACCACAGAACCCAGGAAAGTTTCAGAAATTGGGGTAACCGGGCACCCCTGAGGATGAGGATGGAGGAAGGGCTGACGGAAAGCCATCGTGGGGAGACCTCAGAACTCTAGGTCCCTTTGCCCATGCTGTGCATCCGGGCAACCCCCTCTGGCTCACCCTGGCAGAAGACCTGAGCGTGAGCCAGACACCCTTGACTTGGGATCCCCTGGCACACTCGACAGAGGAGGTGAAGACCAGTGCGGAAAACAGAGGGCTTAGGTGAAAGTCTACATATCAAACAGTGCAATTCCCTCCTCTGCTTGTTTACCAGAATGTTGGCCACCCTGAACAGGAGACCCAAGGATTCCGATCTGAGCTCGGCTGTCCCTAAAGAAAATACTTCCACAAGCTAATATTTGGGAGGTTCCCCAACAGCACAAATAGTCACCTTGTTGATAACTCTATTGTCAAACCTGTCACTTCACAAATTTTAGATATCCACACGGAGCATCCAGTGCCATCTGAGTATTTCACTCTTAAATATGAATGGACAGCCAAGGATTCTCAGACATTGTAGGAAAGTTTCTAACATGATAAGCAGAGACCAAAACAAATGAACAATAAAAGGGAACCTGGATGAAGTAGAGATAATACAGGAACAGAAGACACATTTAAAAATAATCCCTGTAGAGGAAAGGATATTGCCTCTACGAAACAAGAACAATATTCTATACAAAGGTACGTTTAGAAGATAAGAACGAGCTTTTAGACATGAAAAAATACATTAGCAGAAAAAAATTAATAAAAAGTTCATATTTAAGGGGCGTCTGGGTGGCTCAGTCCACTCAGTCCAGTGGCTGCCTTTGGCTCAGGTCATGATCCTGGGGTCCTGGGATAGAGCCCTGCAATGCTTCTCTCTCTCCCTCTGCCCCTCCCCCTGTTTGTGCTCTCTCTCAAGTAAATAAAATCTTTAAAAAAAGTTGGTATCTAAAATGAAGAAATCTCCCAGAAAGTGGAACAAAAAGAGATGGAAAACAGAACAGAATGGATTAACAAAACTGGAGAATCAGTCCAGAATTTACAACAGCTAAATTTATTTTCTCTTTCTGAAGAAAGAGAAAATAAAGAAGCAGACATCTGGAACTTATATAAAAAATAATACAAGAGCAGTGGGTGGGGAAATGCATGAAGTAGGTGATGGGGATTAAGGAGATCACATGTTGTGACAAGCACCAGGAGATGTATGGAAGTGTTGAATCACTATATTGTACACCTGAAACTAATATGACACTGTCTGTTAGCGAACGGGAATTTAAATAAAAACTTAAAAAAATGAATACGTGAGGAGAAGAAAAGTACAGCATGAGGAATATAATCAATAATATTATAATAACATTGTATGGTGACAGATGGTGACTACATTCACTGGGGTAAGCACTAAGCAATGTACAGAATTGTGTTTTCAATATGTTGCACAATTGAAACTAAGATAACATTTTATGTCAACTGTACTTCAGTAAAATAAAATAAAATAAACATAAAAATAAACATACATAGGCTCAGAAGCCTAAAAAAAAAAAATAAAAGAGCATTCTCAGAATCGAAGGCCTGGATTTAAAAAGTCTCTAGATTAGGGGCGCCTGGGTGGCTCAGTCGGTTAAGTGTCTGCCTTCAGCTCAGGTCATGATCCCAGGGTGCCGGGATCGAGTCCTGGGATCGAGTCCATGTGGGTCTCCCAGCTCAGCAGGGAGTCTGCTTCTCTCTTTGAAACTCCCCCGCTCATGCTTTCTTGCTCTCTCTAATAAGTAAATAAAATCTTAAAAAAAGAGTCTCTAGATTAAAAACCCCTGTATAATGAGTACAAAAAGACTCACATTAAGGCACATCAGAATGAAAACTTAGAATACTGGCAATAAGGAAAATGTTCCAAAAGTCCTAGAGCAAAAAAACTAAGGACCAGGAATCATCCTTGTACCAGGCTTAACAACACTAGAACAAGCAGACCATAACATCAAAATTCTGAGAGAAAATGGCTTGTAACCCAGACTGCGTCCCAAATCCACTATCCATCAACTGTGAGGGTGGACTAAGACATTCCGGGATATGTGAGATCCTTTACAGCTTATTCCCTCATATCCTTTCTGGAGGAGAATGTGCTCCTCCAAAATGAGGGACTAAACCAAGAAAGAGAATGGTATTGGGTTCAGTTCCAGCACATAACAGGTACAGGAAATGCCCAGAAGGAGGGAGAAAGGAACTTCCAGAAGGCTTGAGGCTCTAGAGAGCAAGGAACTCTGAGGAGATGAAGCATCACGAGATCTTCAGGTGGGATATCAACACAAAGCAAGACCAAGAGATTAAGATTTGTAGTTGATTATGTCGAGAAGAGATTTACTCTCCTGGCTAAGAGTTTGGGGAGCTTAGTTATAGACAGAGCTAAGCATACTAGAATCAAAACAAAAACAAACAGAAAACCCAAAAAACTCCATGAGATTACTGACTCCCGGGAGACCCAAAAGCCAGAGAAGCAAGGACATGTAATTATTGTACACCATGTGCTCAGAAGGGAGTATTTTAAAGTCATGATAATGTAAATAACTAAAAATGCTAATAATGGTAGCTTGGGAGGATGGGGTGGGGAAATGTAGTGAAGGTCTAAGAGAAGTAAAGCGAGTCCTCATCTTCTATGGTTGGAAATTAAGTGATCATGTGCACAAAAGTAACACAATAAGCATGCTATTTATACACATGGAAGTAAATGCCAGATGGAGCAGCTACATGCATCGCAGGCGCTGCTGCTGGGAGAGGCCCTGGGGCTGGGAAGAAGGCTGGAGACTGCTGTTTCCATTATAAGCCTTGTATACTCATTTTTTATAAGAACTCTGTGCATGGATTATTTTGATATGAAGGAAATTTAACCCAAAAGATAATGTAAAGTGCTATTTTTAAAGTGTCCTTATCCTGCAGCTTGAACAGTCACCTAAGTTTTTGTTACTATTTAGGCCCAGCTTCCTGATCAGACGGAGCCTGCACTCCACAGATACTTGGTGGATCTTTACTGATGGATGTGTGAGTCCTTGCTATTTGACGCCAGGGTTTTGCAGTATGTGTGTGTCCCTCGGTACGACACCCAAAGCAGGGCCTGCCCTGCCACCTTCTCTCTCGCTCTGTGGGACCCAGATGGTAGCAGGGACAAGGGCAGGCCTGAGGGCAGAAGGCAGCACCCTGGGGCAGACCCTGACCTCCCAGCTAAGCCGCCTGTGCCCCTGACTTGGGCTCTTCATCCATCCTTTGCCATTCAGGGCACAGCCACGTCCCCCTGCCTCTGGGCTCCAGGCCAGGAGGCTCCCTCCCCAGAGTCCCTTCAGGACCCCCACTGCAGCTCACTGTGACAGAGTCCTGCTCACAGTCCTGGGACGGCTCCAGGTCGAAGTCCTGGAAGACAAGCCTCACGGCAAAGCCCTCTGGAGCCTCGATGTCAGTGGAGTTCTCTTGGCCTTTGAGATATGGCTCTGGATACCCAGGGGATGTCAGCTGCTGGGGTAGCTGCTGGGCCAAGAGCACGGAGCCCTGCGTGGGGCAAGCCTGGAGGACTCCCCAGAGGAGTAGCCACCACCTGTGAGTGGATGAGAGCAAGATATGGCCACACACATATGGCCCGAGGCCTGTGGAAGTATGAGGAGCAGGGGCAGGTGAAGCTGAGAGATCGAGACGCCCTGCAAAGGCGTTAGCCCTTGAGGCCTGGGCACCTGTGGGCTCCTCCCTTACTGCCCCTCCTCACCCTGATTCCTTCAGCCTCCTAGCCAGCCGGAGCTTGGACTGGGAGTTTTCCACCATTGCTTGTGTCCCAGGACAGTCTCAATCAAAGGAGGGGGCTGCTTTCTGCTTCGGCAGGTCCCAATCCCACCCTGGGATCTGGAGGAGCAATGGTGGTAGGAGGGAGGGACATTTAAATATGTTAGCTCTCCTGGCTCAGACCACGGAGTCTGACCAACTCCAGGGAAGGCTGCTAGAGGCTACAGGCAACTTTCCAGTTCTCCCCGCAGTAACTGGTTCTGTGTGTGTGTGTGCGCATGTGTGTGCGTGTGTGTGCACGTCCCTGGGTCCCACCTTCCCCTCTCCCCGCCATTGTCCTCTCCTCCAGGCCTTTCCGGTGGGCACACTCACATCTTGCCTGGGCAGCTTGTGGAGTGGGGGCTTCTCCAGTGGTTATTTCCCCACTCTGAGACCAGGCATCTGGAACTGGACATCTGGGACCAGCGGGAGGACGTGCCCCACGCCAGGGCACAGGAGGTGGGGCGGGGAAGGCCCTGCGGGGGAGGAGGGAGAAGTTACTGGAAATGAGTTAAGTAATTCTCCACAGTTCCCTTTTTCTAGTTCTCTGGGTTGAGCGCCACCTACTGTCTGATTCAGGAATAGTTTGCCCACCACTGTAGAGGAAAAACACCTCCCAAATCCCATTTGCCCTCAGAAAATATCAGGGGGCTGGGAAGGCACTGACTCTTGACCCTTTGTACTGTTTACAACCAATTTTTAACTCGTGCATGTATCACACAGTAGGGTGGTCCCTTTAATGGGCCATACCCCTCCCTCCCTGACCTTTCCACTCATTTATGTTAAAAGACTGCCTCTTGTAGAGATTGAAGTTTGTGACCCATGAACTTGAGCTGCTCCTTGCTCCTCTCTCATCAAGCATGGATGGGGGCACTCGCTTAGGTGGTCTTTTGAATCCTGCCCACAGCCCCGGGAAGCTGCTTGTCCAGCAGGGTCAGGCCCAGACTCAAACTTCTTTAGACAGATACCAGAGGCCATGGCAGGGGGCAGAGGCCACCCTCCCTGCCCCCCCAGGAGAGACACTCACCCACGGCTTGGTAAGGGGCGGGAAGCCCTTGTGGAGGCCAATGGTTCTGTCCTCAAAGGAGGCAGGTGTGTGGAAAGTCAGCAACAGCCCGCTCCCTGAGGACCCGAACTCCCTTTGACCAGGGAGGGCTGCCCAGTGGGGACACCAGCTCCGAGCAGCCCCCCTGGCTGTGATCTGAAAGGGGAGGGGATGGGGGGAAGCAGGCAGATGTGCGGCGCATCTGCAGCATTCGTTGGCACAGGGTCACGTCCTGTTGTGGACTCCAGCCCCAGCTAGAAGCTTTGCACACCTCTGGGGCTCAGAGTTATGTATGACATGTGATGGCTTTGTCGAATGATTCTCTCCCATTCTGCTCACCACAAAGGCTAAGAACGGCTCCTCACACTCCAGTGCTCTTGGTCCACTCTTCGTTCAAGAGGCTCTCCGGAAGCCCTTAGGACACTCCCAAAGGGTGCACCAGGCCAGCAAGCAGGCTCCATTACGGCAGGGACTGTGGCTACTCGGCTCACCATCACTGATGGCCAACATGGTGCCTAGCCCATGGATACGATGGCAAAACATGCGTGGCTGAATCCTGACTATATGGGTAGAAAGTCTCTTAATCGGCTTCTTCCCTTTCCCTCTCATACTGACCCTCAAATCCCCCTTCTTCCAGCCCCTCTATCACTTTGCTAAGTACTTTTCTGCTACCACTCTCTGGGACCTGCTTTTCCTGCTTCCCCTTCTTCTGCAGGATACCTCCTCCAGCTCCTTCCAGGCTCTCCCTGGGTCATCCCAAATGACCAGGCTCCTTCTCAAGCGCCATCCCTCTGGTTTCCATTCAGCCCTAGAGCATCCTGCCTCCATCCTTAGTCCAAGGGAGAGCTCAGTAGGCAATCCCTCTCACCCTCATTCCAGAAGTAACCTCTACTCTGGGCCTATGCACTGCTCAGGTCCCTGGTCGTATGTTCTCCTCCTTCCCATTACTTCTTCCTTTATTTGTCTCTCACCCCCACTGCTTTCCTCCCTTTCTCCAGGCCTTTGTGTTCTTGCTTTCCTCCTCCTCCTCCCTGATTCAAGCTTTAGCTCCAACAGCTTCCTTTCCTCTGAGCCTCATGGTACCCCGTCTTCCTGGAGAGCCTCTGGCTTGAGAAGGCAGCTTCCTACTGAACTTGAGAATTTTTTTAAAAAAATATTTTATTTATTTATTTGACACAGAGAGAGAGTGAGTGAACACAAGCAGGGGGAGCGACAGAGGGAGAGAGAGAAGCAGGCTCTCCCTCTGAGCAGGGAGCCCGATGCTCAGGGGCTCGATCCCAGGACCCTGAGATCATGACCTGAGCTGAGGGCAGATGTTTAACCGACTGAACCACCCAGGCGCCCCTGAACTTGAGAATGTTTATTGTCTCTCAAGTAATAGGGGCGCAGTGGAGATGGTGACCCCAAATATCATGGTCAGAGCATTTGTTTTCCTTCTATCACCCCCAGGGCAGGGCTGGCTATGGGCCCCACATTCCAAATCCCCTCAAGTTAATTGAACTTGGGGTTGTGCTGCTTCCCCTCTTCCTTTTCCAGCTCTTCCCCACAAGGCTGATTCCCAGCTTTCCTGGTAGATCGCAGGGCAAGGATTTCTCCCTGTTAATTCAAATTATCACAGACTCTTAAACTCTTTGAAAAAGACAAACAGAAGAATGAGATTTTACCTTTATGCTTGAAAGGACAAGACAGTCCCAAGGGTATTCTTCTGGTCTTACAAACAAACAACAATCTCATAAATCTTTATGCCTTTTCGAAATTGAAGAGGTTAATTTAAATAATGTTTTCAGGGGTGCCTGGGGGGCTCAGTCAGTTAAGTATCTGACTCTTGGTTTCAGCTCAGGTCATGATCTCAGGGTCGTGAGTTTGAGCCCCGCTTCCAGCTCGGTGCTGGGCATGGAGCCTGCTTGGGATTCTCTTTCTTTCCCTCTCTCCCTGTGCCCCTCCCCCTGCTTTTGTGCTCTCTCCTTTAAAAAAAATAAATTAATTAAATATTGTTTTCAGACAAATTTTCAATGGCCAACCGGAGTTGCAGAGTTTTAAGGTTTACAAATTACATTGTATTGGTCATATAGCAATCTTCTCTGATGTCTGCATGTCTTAAAAGGTTCCTTTGTGCAAATTACACTTCCAAAGATGATATAAATATAACATAGAACAGGATTACATATTTTCACACCAGTGGGACTGAATGTTCTTGATTTACCACTTTATCAGAATCAACTCTATGAAGCAGAATCGTGTCTGATTTTCTGCAACTCTAGGATAAGAGGGAATATGTTCTCATCTTGCTGAGATTTATTTTGTGAGCATTTATGGGGCTTGCTTTTTAAAACTGAGCACCAGAATTTCATTTTAGGGCATTTTTTGGGGGGGGGGAAGGCAAGCCTGAGAAGCTTAAAATGTACAAAAGAGAAAGTTAACAAATGGAATATGAGACACATTCTGGTTTTCACCTATAATTGGGAGACAGGTCCAGTTACTCCAGGGCAAGTGAGAGGGTTTGGCTCAAGCAAGGCAATGGAGCTGTGGCTGGGGAAGGCTCTGGGAGGAGGCAGATCGCTGGAAATATAGTAATTCCCAGCATGACCTTTAAAAAAATCTCTAGGGTAGATAGCACTTGCCATCTGGCTCAGGGATAGCTAAAATATTGGAGACAGTTTTTTACCCCAATTGAGGCTGGATATCTCTGAGATCAAGAAGACCTCTTACCCACCAACACCCAGACTTAACTTGAAGGAGCAGCTGAAGGAAAGTTCGGTGGGGTCCATGCCAACTGTTCATTTTTTTTTTTTAAACTTCTCTATTTCAAAGACTCGATTTCTATTTATTTATGCTCCTGGTTCTCTAAAATCACTCCCCAGACTGTGGTTGTCTCTATCTGTGCCCTTTCTTTCCAGACCAGGTGCCCTGGGGAGAGGAGACATGGCCATGTGGAAGCCCCAGGACACCGCCTCATGGTGGACAGAGGAAGGCTCCGGTGAGGGCGAGTAGAATTCACCTCGGTGGACTCCTCCTCAGCTGCTGGCCTGCACGGCTCACCTTGCCTTGAACTGGAGATCTGGAGATGATACAGCCGCTGTCGGAGGTCCTGCCTTCTCATTGGATGTCAGAGCATGTGAGGTGTCTGATTGTGGTCTGCGTGGGAGGGAAACATGAAGGCCCTTAGAAGTCCAGGTTGCACCACTTTATGCCGATTGCAGCAGTGGGAGGAGCAAATGGAGCCCCAGAAGTGGAAGCCTTCTACTGCCCCCTGCAGGTAAAAAACCAGGACCTGCAGGACCTGCCCAGGAACAAGAGGGACCCTGGCATGAGCCCCCACCAGGGATCTGTCCTGGGAGGAAGGGGCACTGAACCTGCCACTGGATCATAAGGTTTAGGGGCCGGGTATTGTGTTCTTTGTCTCTGATGTTCTTTGTCATATTCTTTTTTTTTTTTTTTTAAAGATTTTATTTATTTATTTGACAGAGACACAGTGAGAGAGTGAACACAAGCAGGGGGAGTGGGAGAGGGAGAAGCAGGCTTCCTGCGGAGCAGGGAGTCCGATGCGGGGCTCCATCCCAGGACCCTGGGATCATGACCTGAGCCGAAGGCAGACGCTTAACATCTAAGCCACCCAGACACCCTGTCATATTCTTTTGATTATGCTTCACTATAGCCACTCCATCATATACCCGTCTAACCACTCATCAGCCCTAACAATACTGGCCACTTCTGCATTTATTTTCACCCACCCTGATTCACTTTATTCAAAGAAAGAAATTCTTAGAGGCAGGAGTCCTACTATCTCTCCATCATGGTCATCATCTCCCTGAGGAGGTCTGATAGTCCTAAGAAGATTGCTAGCGCTTTACCCACGAGGGTATTAGCCCTCCCTCTCTTTGTAGCTTTGGTAGACTAACTATCCAATCTTCCAGAACACTCTTTAGGGTCCTCTATTGGGAGAGCATATATCTCAGTTTGGTTGGAACAGTCCCAGTTTACACTGGTTGTCCTGGTGTAATTATTACTAGTGCCCTCCTTCCCCTGGTTTGGACAATAAGCTATCTGGTCATCCGAGGGCAAGGTGCTTTGCAACTACTTCAGTATGGCGACTCTGCTGCATGAGACCTCCCTCTCCCCAGGCCCACTCACTGTCACTTGTCACTGTGGTCGCTACCCCAGTCTGAGCCCTGATTGCCTGGAGCCCTTTCTGGCAGCTCTGTGCTCATTACATCAGTTGGCATGCTTTCATGAGCAACATGATACTCCTCTGAAATCCCACGTGGGCACGTGCTCACCAACATATCTCTGCTCCTTCCGTCTCCACCAAAATCAGAACCTCCCTTCTCTAATACTTAAAAAATGTCATTTTAATGTACTCAGGTTTGAAAGGTGGGAGGGGATGGCTTGTCCCAAAGTTCTGAGGTCTGTGTACTAACCCCTAAGAACTCATCATGAGAAAGAGGCTGGGGATATCCCCCAAAGAACCTTCCTGCTTCTACCCTGCCAGAGTGGCTGGAAGGGAGGGCAGGGAGGAGTCCTCAAAACAGGAAAAAAAAAAAAAAAAAAGATTGTGCTAGAGATTTTCAGTGTGTTTGGAGTGAGGAAGACCACTGTAGTGGAGTTGTATTGTACCTCACTCTGC